AAAATACACAATTGACTGTTAGCATCAGTGAGGCTAAATGTTTAAAAAAAATCCTTGCTGTATTTAAAAGTAATTGGGGAATACTTTAAAAATAAATACTTCATAGGGTTGCTAAAAATGCCTTACTATTTTTATAAGCTTTTAAAGTGCAGCACATTCTGGAGCTACACCTTAAAACAAGTGCTAACCCAGGGATAAAGTAGGCTAAGACACAGTGATAGGGGAAAAATCACATTAGCTAATTTCTTCCTCCATCACAACTATGCAGGTTGAGCTTTTATTTGTTGTTAAAACATTTCATATTGTTGTAGCTTAAATTTATGATCTTAGCGTACTGACACATGCAACTGTACCCATCTGAGTCATGTCATCTTTCAACCAAATTAGAGGTGTTGATGGATTTTGGGGTACTACAGTACTGCATGATACACACCACTAGAGAACAATTGTGCCTTTGTTTTGGTGAGTGTGGTGGTGGTAAGAATTTTAGCATTTGACTTGTCTGTTTCTTATCATTAATTATCAGGCTTCTATCTTTCATATACAACCTATGGTTGGAGCTCCAGTCCATATGGATGGAGTGACCTGTGACACCAATGAGCAGGCCCCCAGGATAATGATATGTAAAATGTAAACTTACTTTAAATAGCTAATTACATACTGAATATTAAAGAGACTGGATATTCAACCATGTTTTGTGGAAAAAGGCCACGGAACCCTTTGACCCCATAGTTCCAGTATCCTTTAATCATTACCCTTGGGTCAAACCACATTGATCTGTAAACTTGACCTCTATTTTGATCCCAGCCACATGTTTTGTGTCTTGGAAAAAAATCTGTCCACAGACATATACCACTAACCACACCTAACTTTTTGATATTTACTGCTGTTGTAGTCATCTCCAGGCCCATATTTTGCTGCGATAATCAACATGCATAGATGCACAGACTCATTAGGTGTAAACAACCCTGTCCACACTATCACTGCTGGTAATCATACCATGCTTCAGATAGCAGCAGCTTGGTACAACTGCAGTGTTTTGTTGCAGACTGTAGATGGCACTCACAGGGTGCTGGTAATAATAGATTTGCTGCACCTTATTTTTACATAACACTCATATTCTTCCAAGCCAAATGGTTAGGACAAGCATATCGGATGCTATACACGAAAAATGAACGGTGGCTCAATGTGTTTACTGAGTATAAAGAAAGAAAGGATATTGTGGATGTGAAGAAATCAGAATCTCGCCGGGAAATCCTGCTGAGCTTTGTTCACCAACATTAGAAGATTACAAGAATGGAGGATGCAAACACTGCTCAGTTCAATTCAGTTCAAAGGGGTCTTATGGGCATGAAAGTTTTATAAAGCAATATTGCTGAGGCTTTAGGATATAATTTGGACAAACATATGGATTGGAAGCTGCACAACTACAGTGAAATGAATTTCTGTGCACAATTACCACTGATTCATGTGAATCGTATATAGTGTGTATAATATGTTTACTTGTCTGAGAGAGAGTGAACAGCTGAACCAAAAGATCTCCTCACACATCTCAAACTGCTTGCTCTCTTGCTAACAATGGGTTTCCTGCATAGATTACCAGGAAGTGCTGTGTTTGTCACTTTACACATAAAGTCTGATCAGCATTTTATAGAATGGAGAGTTAAATGAACATGATGCTAAGGCAATAAGGCAATCTCTGCTGATGCTGCCATATTGTTAGTTATGTTGCTGTGGTTTATTATCATATTTGGGGAGGTGGGTGGGGGTGTGGGGTGGGGTGGGGGGTCTTTTTAGGTGACTAACATCTCCTGATTCAGTTAAATAAACGAAAGTAATATGAATGGCATTATCAATCAGACTATTTCTCTGCTTTTCTCTTTCTCTTTGTACTTTTGTCTTTCTAGTAGAAAACATAAAAAATACTATATGGATATGCATTTGTGTATAGAACAGTATGCAAATGCTTTTGTGTATACAATGCACAATAGCATTGCGGGAGTTTTGATGTGATTATTCACCTCACCAAGAAACTACATGACAAGGCTACACTTGATCTGTCTGAGCCACTCTGACCTGAAAATCGACACTATACTTCACTCTCCTCCTCCTTTGAGTTATTTTGCCCATTAGTCTGTAACCTTACTCAGTGAGTCACTGGGTTTAAATGTTAAGGAATATATATGAATATATGTAAGTTGGTCTGCAAAGGCTGTAAGACTGTAGTTACATGGCCTCTGTACATATAGTTAAGAGAAACTAGTTTCATATAAGTTAATAACATTTAAAATGTTCTGATCACTGACATAAATGCACAAAATGTCATCATGAAGTCACCATTATGTCACCAATTGAAGTTATACTGAAAATAATCAGGTAGCAATTGTAGAAATAAATATTTTGATAATGATTTCACTATCAAATAATCAGGCAAACATTTGATTTATATTGTTTTGTCATTGATTTATACAAGTTGCCTTCATTATTTTTCTGGAGTTACATGTCAGCTACTCCAGTCCTTCCTGGTTTGAGTAAAAGCGGTGTCAGAGAACAGAGCTAGTTCTAATGGATAGGTCAACAAAATAGACCCAAACACCTACTCTGACTAGATGAGGGAGAATTACATTCCTTTATATCACATTTATTTATTGTTGCAGTGGTTTAACCCTTTGTATTTAAAATGTTTTACTCCACTAGTAAACAGATTAAGCTGGTTCTTATTTTTTAAGGTCTTATTTTGTTAACCATTATTTTTGTGTAGTTCTGTGCATTACAGTTAGTTTAGTTAACTTTTTATGATCCCACTCTTAAAATGCACTTATGTTCATTATGTTTATGTATTATTTTTGTCTTTTTCAGGAATAATAAAACCCACATGTTGAAAGTAATACCTTCTGCCAGTATTTCCTTTGAATACTTGGGCCCTTACAAATGCAGTCACCAAAGTTAGGTACTCTTCAGATGACTATATACACTACACATGAGAATGACGCATCTGCAGCAAGTGAATTTTTATTTTATAACTGGATGTTGTTGAATTCAAATTTAACCCTAAATTTGATATTTTTCCAATACCTGTGGTCATTAGGGAGAAATCAATCTCCAGATCATATTTTATGTCTTCAGCCATTTTAATTCAGATTTTAGTGTTTTATTTATTTATTTATTTTTTAACATTGCCCTTATGACGTAAGATTATGGATTTTTCCATGTCTTTGGGCTAATAATTGCTGACTCACGGACTCTTGCACTGTTTTATAGTTACAAACAACTCACATTGGGTGATATAAACAGCCAAAAGAAATTAAATAAACAAAAAAAAAACCCCAAAACAAACCAAAAAATTTCCTTTAAAACATTAGAACAAGTAGCACTGACCTGAAGAGGTTTTATAGTTTCTGAAAAAAGGAGCTGTAAAACTGCAACTGCAATATGTTTGTATTCTTAAGCAACCTCTAACACAAACTGCAGAGTGGTTTCCAAAGCAACCATAAAACCAACACAGACACTGTCAAGGTTGTCAGTGACGTAAGTATAACTTTCCTTGAATCATTTCCAACCTAAGAGGGCTAATTTGTGCATCTTTCTGGCATGAAGCATTATCATTCACTAAAAAAGACCCACAGTGATCCCACTTTGTAGCTACGCACTTAGTCATCTGCAGGTAAGAGGTGTTTTTTTTTCTATTAAAGCATTGTTCCATCAGGAATAGTACACTAGTCTTCTACAACAAAGAAGCTGCTGAAAGTGTTGACACTTCTGACATACAGAAGGCAGAAAACACCACGGGTGTAAAATACTTTTTACAATAAGTATTTTACACCCGTTGCTGTGATAACAGTGATTGAAAAATTCTGGCAGTCACCAAAAAACTGTAGATTTGTGTGTTTGAGATTCTGATATAAAATATGCTTCTATTCTTCTAATATGCATCTATCTATCTATCTATCTATCTATCTATCTATCTATCTATCTATCTATCTATCTATCTATCTATCTATCTATCTATCTATCTATCTATCTATCTACAGACACCAGAATAAGCTGTTCCTGCAGAGGGAATAAAACGTGTATAATAAAATGATGTAAGAACTGCAACAGTGTCCCACTGACTAAGGAAAATTAATTATTCTACACATGTGTAAGAACATGCACTTGTTCAGTCCCAAAATATAATTTGATATATTGCATTGAAAAATGCCCTTTCCCCTGATATTTATATATATTTGCAACAGATTGATACTATAATGTAGCCTCTCTTGTTCCGGCCTTCCATTAAGGATTCAAATAGCTGACAGTGGCTGTATCCCAATTCAGGGTCTGCAGCCTTAAAGTACGAATTTCAAGGCCGATTACGTCACAGCGGCGCGCCGAAGGCTGTCCCAATTCAAAGGCTGCTCCAAATGCGGCCCTGAAATGCGTCCTTCATTTCCCTGAATTTTAAGGCTGTGGCAGTGTAGACTTCGTGGCCCAACATATCCCAGAATGCATAGCGCGGCGGTGGGTGTGGATAATTTTGCCGAAAAAAAACGGCGGATGAGGGGCAGCCGAAG